CAAACGGTGAGTGAAGAAGGATGTAATATCCTGCATCAGTTGTTGTGGTATATAAATATTATTTCCATCCTGGTAAACTAAATAAAATCTTAGACAAAGAATCATTTAACTCTGAAAAAATAATTACATATTTATGTTTACACTATTACTCTTTCTTTAACTTGCTGCTGCATACATATATGCATATTTTATTTGAACTAACAAAGAACTAATATTCTGAAGTTCCATCTTCATGGAAAAACATTATGTGCTACTTTAAATGCTTCCTTTTTAATTACTGCCTCCTTCGCACCATAACAGTTGCAGAACACTGCATACCCAAGCTCAATTTTCAAGAAATGTTACTGTGTTGGGGCTACCCAAAAATCATTCAACTGCTTGTTTAGACTCTCCCTGCACCAACTTTGAAGCCATAGATTTGGATAGGTAGCAAATCTGACAAACTAGGAACCCATACACATTACAAATATGCTTCAATTTCACCCTAACAAATAAACAGCCACTGAAAGGTGAGTTTATATATTATGTGCTGGCTAACCACAATCCTAAGCTCCTGCTACTGTACTTAACCATTTACTCAACTGCATTACTTCCTGAGTCGCAGTTCCACATGTCAGACATGCACTGGAACAAGTGTTCACGTATGACATCTATATGAAAAGTGAATGTCTAAGAAAAGTAATGGGCTTTCAGTGTAAATTTCACGAAGTTACAGTTCCAAACAGAAAAACTATTCATCCTTCTTAAATTATTGGAGGAAGAAAGAAAGAAATCAAAATTATGAGTGTTCGGGGGGGGGGGGGGGGGAAAAAAAAAAAANAAAAAAAAGAAAAAAAAATATATGAAATTGTATTTGAACATTCTCCTCAAAAAATTCTCAGGCCTGGGACAGGCTTTCAGAGTGGTCAGCATGAATAGCCACAAAACTCCTCAAATTAAAGCCATACAAGACAACAGTAGTCAGCCAGAACAGCATACATAAGCCATGCTTCACGGTAGCAGTTTAATGGTTTACTTGCAATTTACTGCAATTTGTACAGGTTCTTGGCTTGTTGAGTGAACTACAAATCTGAATATGTATTACCTAAGTTGACACAAACAGAGTTTCTCTCCTGCCTGTGCAACCAAACAATTTTTGTGTAGCTTTCAGATGTCTGCACTGTACTACTACTCCAAGTTTACTGTTATGATATGAATCAATACCACTCTTCAAGAAATCTGAGCATAAAATTTGTAACATAACTTTACAGAATGGCAATGATAAACCCATTGACAAACAGCAAAACATAAGGAATAGGTAAAGTTGTCCCTGTGCTTAATTAGTTAAGCACTATGCCATGAACAGATAAGGGGGAGTGGAGGTATAGATACACTTTCCTTGACTTTGGTTAACAGATGACAGTGAGTGGTCAGCTTCACGCCCCAGCTGCTTTACCGCCTGGGCAAACAGCTCCCTGGTACCCACTGGATAGGAGGCTGGGTGAGTCGCAGAATCAGTGTGGATGTTGTGGAGAACAGAAAAATCTTGCACTGCCAGGAATCAAACCTGTCCAGCCCATAGCCCATCACTATATTGAATGAGCTATCCACACTCCTTGTAAGTTCAACATATGGAACATAAATATAATAAATAAATAAACTGTCCTTTGCACATATGTATACTAATTTCATTTCAGTGTTTCACTTCAGATGTTAATGGGAAGTGTAACAGACAGATACTAGATCTGATATAATTTCATATTCTCATATTTTCTTCACATGTGAAGTATCCAGCTCCCAGTTTTTTGACACTTCGCGGACCGGTGATTTAAATATTTAAATCACCCTGGGGACCGGCGTTTTTAAACCTACTACCCTAACTTGTGCACTGTTCACTTTAAAAATTAATATAAAATCTCCTAATTAATTTTATGAACTAAAATTTTTCGAGAAGACTTACCAGAGCTCCTAGAAGTGCTTCAGAGTGTGATATTTCTGGAAACATTCCCCTCTGTGAAGAGGCATGACGCAGAACTTGCAGACGTAGGAAGTCTTGCTTCGCTTCTTGTGCACAGCGCACACACGGCACTGCCTAGGATACTTCCCCATCAATTGTTCGCTCATCACAATTTTCATGAGGGTATGTTTCCGCATATCACCCAAGAGTCGCCCTGGGGGGTCCATATGAGGCCTCTGTGGGGTGGGAGTAGATCGTCCCGGTCATACTATGTCTGTGTCTGACGCAGGTTCTGCCGCCACCGTGAGGCCTGTAGCCCAGGCTTTTGCAAAAGCCTGCCCGTTGATTGTGGTTGCAGTTCATTATTATTGAAATGCAACCACCATATCTGTTCAAATTTCTTACGACTTGTGGGTTTGCCGAAAATTGGAATTTCTAAAAATGGATCAGTGGACCAGTAGTCTTTCAAATTTGTAAACCCCATTAGAATGATTATTGCCAAAAAAAATTTTCATTTCTGCTGAAGTGACATCCACCCACTTCAACACCTTATAGGTACTGTCGTACGCCTCACGGTGTTGGAGATAGTATCTGTTGGTCTCCTGACACAACATGTCAAAGAAACTATCTCCAAAAAACAGTTCAGCTACTTCAGACACTTGCATTTGTCTCACCCCTGGATCACCAGTAAACTTTCCCAAAGTGGGTGTTTTGTCCACTTTACCCCATGTGGCTGTCCCCGCAATGCTAGCACTCACACTTTCATCGGAGCTCTCGCTGTCACTTTCACTTTCTCTTCTGGTCACAATATTTTGGGGGCCCCTGTCACTGCCACTGACACTGCCACTGCCCTCGCTATCAGAAGACGAAGCAGCTGGCAAGTCAGATAACACATCGGAGATCAAATCACATATTTCTTCTTTTCCGAGAGCTCGCGCGGCCTTCAACTGCTTTCGTCTCTGAGCCATGTTGACACTGAGAATATCTTGTCTCACAGATAGAAGCTTCGACTTGAACAAAGGGACTTTTCTTTAGAGTGAGAGGGGAATAGAGAGCGGTCACGTTGCTGACTAGGAAAACAAACATTCCGAAGGTCAGCTACGGAGTACTTTTACAGACACATGACCACCAAAGCGAGGAATAGTGTGTTGCAACATAACGTGTCCTAAAAGCCTAAATCTAGGTGACCGGTCTGCCACGTTTAAAACTCAAACGCCTAGGCCTAGGTGTCCGGTCCGCGAAGTGTTAATATGCAGTGGTTTATTTACCTTCCCCTTAGTATTAATTCACAACATCTCTCTGAACACAGCTTTAATTACAAAGCAACCCTTTTTTTCCCTTCATGAGGTTCCAAGCATTACATTAACTACTAGAAGAGAAACTGGAAGAATAAAAGCAGATGTACATACAGCAAGTGAATCTGTCTTTCAAACATCCTGTACAAGCTACATTATGGACTCTTAACAGGTTTCAAGATTTTAAAAAGTTCCATAAAGAATTCTAATAAATGGTGGAATAAAACGTCAGTTATTATCGCATAAATCAAGCATCCTTTAAACGCTACCACATTCATTTTATATTTTTAGCCAGAGAGTGTGTAAAGAACTCCACAATACATTTAATTTAAACAAAGAATTTCTTTTACACTACAAAGCAAACAGGAAACAAAGGTCCACTGTACAAGGTGTGGCAATAAAGAACCCGGATTACTTTTATGACTCATTTCCGGCCACGTCATTGACGAAGAGGAGGGTAGGGCATTGACTCTTGGACTTCCCTCTACCGTCACACAAAGTTTCATTCACGTGCATCGGTTAGTCTGGCCGCGACCATTGTTAGAAGCGGATCGTGTTTCTGAGCTCCGTCGGAATAATGCTGAGTGCTAATGCAGAACAACGTGCTAACATCAAATTCCTCACAAAACTTGGAAAATCTGCCACTGAAACTTACAATTTGTTGACAGAAGTATATGGTGATCAGTGTCTATCTCGCAC